TGTGACTCCCATTCCGAGCCATTCCCATTCCCATTCCCGATCGTCAGCTGCCAGCCGTCCGCTTTTCTGGCCAACTTCCGCCAGCTGATGGAGTTCGGCTGTGGTGGTAGATGGACACAGTTTAAGCTTCCGATTCCTGCACCTGACTCATTCCCCAACCAAACGAATGAGGTGAAAATATCAGGGCTAACCATAATGGATATTACTATCTTGATAGTTTAAGACATTCAAATATGGCAAGCTGAAAATTAAAATAACTAAGAACATATATTAAAATGGATTATATTAACTGGGATTGTTAAAATGGTCCACAAGTTAGTTCACAATCTTTCCTCTAATTAAAATTTATTTAAAATTTAAACATCAATCAAATTGTTAACATAATAAACGATGACATATTGCATTATTAAAATAACAATATTAAATCAAATCACATTCTAAATAAAATTATAAGAATTTTTGTTTAAATATGTTAAATAAACAAATAAAACATTAAAATTTGAAGAACGATTTGATTCCCAAAATTATAAAAACGTGTCTTTCGACTGAAAACAAATTTAGCTAACGTGGGTAATTTTGAATGAACTGAATTAATTTTTTCAGTACGAATTTTATAGAACTTAAAATAAATATTGCTACCATGTTGCCCACAACTGTGTGCTTACAATGTATACAATGTACATATGTTCCCCAGTCCTGACTTTGTAACTCCAACATCGACTTGGTTTCGATTTCCGAATTCGCATGGAACTCTCACCCAGTTTTTCCGCTTTTCCCCCGCCACAAAGACAGATGGCCGCTTCAATTACACAAAAGTCAGGCGGTTCGGTTTGGTTCCCCGTAACCCCTTAACCCCTTTTCGCCCCACCTCGGCCAGCTTAACCCACGAAAGTTGCTGAGCCGTGTCCGCGTTGCTTTTATACATTTGTATTGCGAGCGCTGGCGTTGGTGTCTTGACTTTGTTTTAGTTTTTGTTTGCCGCTTGTTGTTGCTGTTGTTGTTAAGCGAAACAGGTGCGTTTTGCGTTTTGCAGGTGTTTCCCAAAAGCCACCACCAGCAACAAAAGCAAAAACAACTAAAACAAATACAACAACTGCAGTGGTCGCGGACTGTTTAGTAGTTACGCTTTGCCGCTAGTTACACAAATTGCCATCAAGTATTACCGCCTCCCCCTTTATGAAACGTCACCCCCTCATTTTAACCAGCGGCGCCAGTTGCTCATGCGCATTGTATTTCGTGTGAAAATCACAATTAAATGCGATTTTTATGCGCACCTCGCCAATATCGTCGGCGCTGTTGATTGTGGTTTAGCTTTCATTTCGGAGACCTCCGTTGGAGCTGGAAAAAAGACAGTTAACCCTATAAAAATCAATGTTATAATTATAAAACAGTAGACATTGACAGTAGAATATGAATGAGATTAATTGGCTTATACTTATACTACTTATAATGCTTTATTTAGCCTTATGTTTTATGATTAAGACCTTGCAAAACTATTAACTTTACGTTTCGTTTTTTAAAAAACATTATATTTAAAAAAATCGGCACATATTTGTCAATATTTACTGAACGTGCTTTGGAATTGAAAACAACCTAATTAGGTACCTATTTCAGCACCTAAAGTCATTAGGTAAAACAAACACAAACCTACTTTTTTTTATATTATTGTGGACAAAACGAATATAGGTACATACAATGAGGTAATTAATGGCTTTGACTTTTGAAAGCCAAAACACATTGGATCACTACGAGATGTGAAGTGATAAGTTCCTTAATCCTTTCCATAATCCCCCTGGGATCTCAAGGGGTTAAGCTGGGGGGAGTTCGATCAGCTATCGGCCCGGCTTCGTTTAACACTCGGGAGCTCGGCTGGTTCAGGCTCAGCTGTCAGCTGCGTGGTTGGAAATGTCAGCTTGACAATTATTATGTCAAAATTTTCCGGCACGGCCATTGGAAGGCTGAGTAGCCGAACCGAGGCGACGGCATTCGCAATCGCGCAGTTGCCGCAGCTGTTGACTGCTACACGAGTTTTTATGGTAATTCAAGTTTCACTGATTTCTCGTCTCAGCGCAGTCGCACCCAAAAAAAAAATCATTACATGAGAGAAAACCTGAGACTTTTGAGACTGAGAAACAGCGACTAAGGTGAGCGCGGCGCACTAATTGTACCTGGCCAAAGGCTCTCCCCGAAAACCCCGCGAAAAGTGTCTACAGCCCCACAAACCTCTGCAAACAATTAGCGCATACCAGAGTTTGGCTCGGAATCAGAGATCATTGGCCCCCAGAACGGGCGTCGTCGAATAAAACGCACTGCTACACACAGAAAAACAAAAAAGGTATATTGAGAAAGATCGCTAAAAAATAATATTATTAATACAAATAAAGATTTGGAATAAAATTACGAATTATATTTGTAAATACACTTACAGATGGTATTAATTTTTGACTTATGTAAGGTGGCAACCTTTACATTGGTTTGAACTGCGCAGAATGAATGTCTACACAGAGAAAAACACATGTGTTTGTTTAAAGCTGCCTGAAAAATGATATATTTAATACAAATAATGATAAGAAATAAAATTACTTATAATTCAACCTTTAAATTGGTTTAAACTTTTTTCTTGTGCACTATGAATGTCCCCTATAGACAATGCATGTGAACACCAGCGTTTTTTCCATTTGCCGGGGATTTTATTTTAAACGACAGTGCATACCCTAACAAGCAAAACAGTTATGCGGTTTGGTGTCGATACGATAAAATAATTGCTCAATTAATGGGGAGCCATGTAATAAATTGTACTTTATCTAAGATCTGTCAACTATGAAATTATAAAAATGTTTCAGCTACAAAAATATATATATTTTTAAAAACATTGTCTATACTTAATAAATTGGCAAGAAACATTGCTACATTTTAAAATTTTTTTTACTTAAAAAATCAAGTCTAAATTAACATAAAAATCGGGTAGATAAATAAAATAAAATAAACTAAATAAAAGTGTATTACTGTGATCGAAAATGGTTAATAATAATTACATCTTTTCCTTAAATATAAAAATATATCTTTATAATTTAATCAATTAAAATATAAATCAGGAAGTAAATATAAAAGTGGCAAGTGATAAAAAGCCGTTGTTTGTTATATCACAATCAACTAATGTTCTTAAATTTTTTAGTCAACAATTTCTTTTGTAGACTTCTTCTATATACCAACACATTCAATAACGTTTGCCTTTATGACAGTATCCAAGCAGTAACCTGTACTACAGGGCTCTTCATAGAGCATCCCAGATTTGTGGCCGCCATGGAAAATCGTTCCGTAGCTATTTAAAATGTTTCTCTTGTGTTTTGCAGGGGTCTCCGATCCGAATTGACATTTGAATGGGGCGGCTGGCACCGAGTGCTCCGAGTTGCGAGCTCCGATCTCAAAAACAAACCCGAGACTATATAGTCGCAATTGCCAATTGGTCAATGCATTGTAGTTGCAGTCATTAACGCTAATAGGCCAGCAGATAGCGAGAAAGAGAGGGAGAGAGTGGGAGTGAGAGGGCAGGCAGCTGCGGGCAAAAAAACCCAAAAAAAAAAGAAACCAAAACTAAATCCACACCCAAGCGGTCAGGAAAACGAAATAATAGGAAAAACAGCAGGCTAAAGTGAAGGAAACAATTTTCTCAACGGAAATTTTCTGTCCACAATTCGCACACGTGTGCAGGTCGAGTTTTCCACTAAGGGCCCTAAAGGCCATTTTACCTGGGAAAACCAAACCCCTAATGACAAAGGCGGCGGCTGCGTGAGAAAACTCGCTCGCCTATGGAACTTCGGGGGTATTATCATCCACCTTATTGTTCTGGTAATTCGTTGCACTTGTTTACATGGGAAATGGTTTTTCAACAGAGTTTTCCTGCCTCCGGCTACTTGTCTTCAGGTAGTTACCCATATTTCTGGTAGCTTCATGAAGTTTCGTAATCCCCCACATTCCCAGTGAAATTCCATTGAGTTTTTTGATTTTTTATATTTTTTTAATTTTTTGCAATTTATTAAGAGCTAATGTTGATTTTTTTTCGTTTCTTTCTTTTTAGATATATATTTTTTCGCATCATCATCAAATGTTTTCTTTTTCTTTCACATCATGATAGAATTTTTACCATCGAAATGAGAACAAACATATGTAATTTCGATTGCGGATCAAATCATAATTAAAAAATAGCATAATTATGCTAAAAAACACTTTGTACAAAGTATGCTACAGATCACAGAACATATATTAATATATATTTATAGGTTTTAGTGTATATCTGGTAATTACTATTATGGATTATACGTTAACGTTAATTCGATTAAAAAAAGAGGAAAACGATCCAAGGGACTCGGAAAAACTACAAAATGAGGTGTGTGTGTGTTTTGTGTGTGAGTGAAAATTAGTGCCTGGAAATTATCTTTCACAAAACTTAAACACTAAATCGTACTCAATATAAATTAATGAATTTGAATGTGTGTGCTGCTGAGTTGGTTGTTCTTGTTATTTATTGGCTGTGGCTAATCAATAATAGGAAAAATTCTTCATTGATTAAAATTAATAGGAAAATCATTTGGAGAGAAATTATATAATTAAACGTAATTCCAGTTTTGTTGCCTGTGCATTTTGTTTTATTTTTATTGCTGATCTCTGTTTGCTTTGCATTAGTAACATTTTTTTTCTTGCGTTGTTTAAACCAAAACAAAACTAAAATTAGGAAAACAAAAATATATATGTGCTTTAGTGTAATTTCAAGCGTTAAAGGAAAAATTAAATTGTTTAAAGCTTTGCCAAGTTTTCTTCTTCCATTCATTCTTAAGCGCCATCCTAGTTGTAATGTTTAATAATTAATCATAATGTTTACTTGCTTACGATGCTCTAATGCTAGGTTTTTGTGTTGTTGTGTTTATTAATTGTTTAAACTAAACTCTGTCGAGCCAAAAATCGAGCTCTCTTTTTCCCCGATTTTTCCATCGCCGGGAAAATGAGAGTTGAAGAGATGCGCCTGGGCTGTAGTTTTTCTTGAGAGTTACACACACGTAATATTATGCGGAGATCTTCACACGAAGGTTGCGAGTGGAGTTTTGACTGTACTTTAATTATGCATTTAGTTAATAAGTTTATAGGTTTTATAGGTTTTCCCGGCTGGGCGTTTCCACGCTTACGACTGCCTGCTGTCTTTCTCCGCATTCAGTGGCTAAAACGATAGACAAGAGGGGAAAATTCAAATTAGTATTTATGTCTGGTTGAAGTACAATAATTTGTTTATTAGCTGTATTTATTTCGCCATTCTATGTTATCAATTAATTCGCTGTTTTACTGGCTGTTGCTTTCTTTTTTGTTTTGTTTCTCGATGAGAAGATGATGTCGATGAAAAGAGGGGATGAGGCAATAAAGAGGCGCCAAGAAAATCAAACGAGCTGTCACTGAGCTTTTGTTGTTTTCTACTCACTTGAGTTCGTAGGCACTAAGAGAAATTTATGTGAAATTAAGAATAAGAGATGCAGAGATTGAAACAAAAATAGAGAGTGGAGTAATTTTCCAGAAAAATTAAAAATTATAGGGAAACAACCTTAATATATTTAAATGTGAAGTCAGCTATTATTAAAGATTAAAATATCGCATGTTCTCTATGGCTTTTCTCGCAGTGTCTTATGTTCTCTTCCTCTTCCTTAGCTCTCTTACTGCGAGGGGGCGGGTATTGAAAGGGGGCAGGATCCGTGGGGGGATACAATGTAGAAAGCGACCGACTGGCGACTGGCGCACAGCTGCGCGAAAATAAAAAAAAGAAACAGCAAAAACAACTGAAAACAACCCACAGAGAGAACATTTTGAACACGTGCATTTCTTTTTACAGTTTTCTGAGTGCCCCCATGTGTTCTCGTATGTGTGTGCGTGTTTTCGAAAGAATTCTCAGATGGTTGTTCTTGTTGTTGTTGTGTGGTGTGGTGACACATCATACAAACACAAAAAAAAATATATATGTTTGTGGGTTGCAGATGTTTTGCAACAAAAATAAAAAAAATGGATTACGCACCAAGTGAGAAAAAAAGATCTTAGTAAGATAACTTCAATGGGTAAACGATCTGAAAACCATTGCAAACATAGATCATTAGTTGGAAAGAAAGGAGGCCCGAGTTCAAAACCCATCTGCGTGATTTATAAAAAAGGGCTGTCCGCCTTCATAATCAATCAACAATCAGCGGATAAAAAATTAATAACACTTGCCGGGGCCACCCAGCCGAGCATTTGTTCGAAAAACCCATTGAAAAAAGCTCTTTTGAACCTGTTTTTACGTGGGTCCTAAACAAATTTTTTTGCCAGCATCATCAATAACCGACAATAAAAAGAAGAAAAGAAGCTGCTCGCGCTAATGAAGTAAGCCAAAAAACGAAATAAAATAAAAATACGAAGACTGATGATTCCCCAATTTCAAATTCCGTTTTCAAGCTCGCATATGCGTGTGTGTGTGAGGCGAGAGTGTGTGAAATAAATTTAAGTATCTGCAGGTGTTCATTTAAAACATCACAACAACAGAAAAAGGCCGCGAGAAAAAACAAAAATTAACAGCTACGTATAGGCAACGGCAACACACAAAAGAAAGAAAACGATGTGTGGCGACAACAACCGCAAAACCCATACAATCGCACAGAGACAGTCTGTGAAATGTCTATAAAAACAGAAAATGAAATTTTCGGGTGAACTCAAGAGGAGGCTACGAAATCGGGGAAGGTCAGCGGCGCAGATTTATTGTTGTCGAAAGCCCAGTAAAGAAATTTTACAAGATTGGGGCCAAAGAAATGGGCCTCTCGGCTCGTCTCGTCCTTACGAACAGCGAAGTGAAACAAAAAAAACCATTTGTCAATCGCCTTATGAATGAGGTCACTCGCAAAACAACAACAAGTAGAGCCCCGATCACTTTGACACTCAATTGTCTCCTATAAGTGCAATGCAAATGTCAAACAGCTGCGGTCAAAATAATGGCATTCAACAAAAACCCAAAAACTGCGGTAATAAAACGGGTAAAACATCTGTAAAACTTTTGACATGGCGCTTCTTATCTTCAATTTTGCAATTATTTGTGCTATTGCCTGGAGTAAAAACTCATAAAAACTGTTTAGTGTTCGATTTCTCGGAGTTGTAAAAATTTGAAAATTAGATACAAATTAATTTTTTAGACTGCTTTTATATTTCTAAAATGTTTTTAAGACTGTTGTGTTATTTATATTAAAAAAATGTCAATGTTTTCATGTTCTCATTTTTACTGATTTAAAAACTTGTATGAATACTATTATGATAAAATTTTAAGGTCAAATAAGCGACCACATTTGCATTTCCGAAACATCGTAATTTTGCTAAAATTTCGACGTCCGCTGTGCTCATCTACCTACTTCCTATTTCACTATTTAAGCAATTTGTTTGTTAACTCACCGTTGCTAAACTGTTGGACAGTTGCTGCTGTGATTGCAGTTGTTGCTGTTGCTGCTGCAATTGGAGTTGCTGCTGCTGCTGCTGCAGATGAGCGGGCGCCACAAGGAGAGTGTTGGGCGTTTGGCGATCGGTGAGCGGGAGACGGGCGGCGGGACTAGAGATTTTCGCCGGCTGTTCGGCGGCCAGACGCTGGGCGAGAAGAACATCCGGATCGACGACGACGCCCGTTTCCGCTTCCGCCGCCTCCACATCCGCATCCTCCATGTCGCTATCCTCGTCCTCATGCAGTCCATTTACCGCCGTCAAAGCGGCCGCCGCATCAAAGTTACCCATCTCGGGATGCGTTTCCAGTTCGGTCTGCAGATCGCATATGTAATCGATGACATGCTGTATGATTTCCAGCTTTGTGAGCTTCCGATTCTTGGGCATGAACGGGACGAGATCCTTGAGCTTCGATAGATACATCTTCATCTCGGCATTCTCCCCATCGCCGCGATGCGTCGGGTGGCGCGAGATTCGCCCGTTGGCATTCAAGGCCGGCATTCCGGAGGCACCTGTCTGACAAACGGCCGTCAGGGACTTCATTCTCGAGATGATCGCTTTACGCTCCTTGAGTAGAATCTTGGCGGTTATTACACGGTCGTACCGGATTACTTGCTGCGAGGTTCTTAAATATTGCTTTTGCTTATGTTTTTTTTTTAATTTGATTTTGGTTTCTCTGCGAGTTATTTGGCTTTGTGCTGCGATGCGTTGCTCACTTCACTTTAAATTTTCTCACTCTGTCGAAGTTTGTTAAACGAAACACTTTAATCCAGCGTGTTTTTCTGCGTTTGCGTTTTTCGATTTCTATATCTTGTTTTCAGCGAACGGTCGGCACGAATGAGTACTTTTCGCTCAGAGCGCTCCCTTTTATACTCGCCGAAGATCCGAAGAGCGACGATAGGCGGAGTCTACGCTCTCGGGTTTCGTCGGCTGCACAGAGAAAGGTGGTTGCGGAGAGAGAGAGAGAGAGAGAAGCAGGGGAAAGTACTACTTGAGAATCCACCATGTGGATATAACTATGACTTGAAACCGGATTTTTGGAGAGGGGAAATGTAGAGTTTTTAAAGGTCTCTCCATATCTACAAAGGGTTTGTGGATTTTGGATATGGAAGAAAGAACTCAAAGTATTGAGAATTACCATACATATTCTCCACACTTGAAGAACTTAAATTTACTGGAGATATTATGTGGAGAGTTGGGCTTTTGCAAGATTATATTGATTGAGGGATCATGGTGAAAAGGGAGAAGTGGTCAGGATTATTGGGGAAAAAAGGGTATAGTTGAACTTATAATACAACAAATCCATCCACAGGGGAAAGAGCTTTGTGAAAGAAATTTATTTAAGCACCGAAAGTACAAAAGACCTATATGTAATAAAATAAACGAGCTAACTATTTAGGTTAATACAAATTTGCTCGAGAAATGTCAAGTTACTTACTAATGGTATTTTTATAAAAATTGTAGCATCTTTAAAGTTAGTTCTTCGTGGTCCCCATATCCGTGGAGTGGTTTTAACATCCACAGCCATGCCCCTACAAATCTACAAAGTTGAATTCCACCGTAAGTCTTAATGGCAGCTTAAAACGAAAACTCTCAACTTGTGTAGACTAATGTATCCCAACTTGCTTCACCACCTTCCACAAGATCCAACCCACAGCCTGCAATCCCAAACTAAGGAGAAATAATTCAAAGTACCAACATTTCCCCTGAATTCACCACAATCCACAAATACTCACCTTTGTAGACCCGGCTTTTCATGGTACTCTCTCTAAAAGTCTCCAATAAATCGAAATAATCTCTACAAGATGCAATATGCTCGGGTTTCTCGAAAGGGGAAATTGGTTTTTGATTGGTCGGCTGCTTTTCTCAGTTGAATTGAGAAAACCCGACTATTTGTTCTCAATTATTTTCCCGTTCTCTCTCTCTCTCTCTCAACTGCAATGTTTGTTTTTCTTTATTCTCACATTTTGTGAATGAGCATGAAAATGAATGAAAAGTGTTTTGTGGGAAAAGGAGGTTCCGCAATCAAAACGAAGAAGCGAAAAAGACAATGAGAGTTGCTAAACGAGGGCTTGATTAATTACAGAATGAATATTAAAATTTATTCCTGGGTAAATTTGATTAAATCGCTGTAGGATGGGAAAAGTGAGTTAAAAAACACGTGTACCATAAAATTTTCGGTGATTTAAAATTTAAATAAAACATCTATGGACGGTCTTATATTATATTATTATATAAAACATAGACAATAAAATATTCGTATTAATCCACTAAAAAAAATAAATATAAAACAAGAAATTGATAAATTTTTCATGTATTTTCAAAGATATTTTCATAAAACAATTTCAAGGCATTAGAAATAAATAATGATGTCACAAAAATCATATATCTATTATTATTTATTAAATAGCCGACAAAATATAGCTATTACTCCACTGTAAATAGTTCTAATACAAGAAAACTATAAATTTTTGATTAATTGTCAAAGTTTTATTCATAAAAAAATTCTAGTGCATTAAAATTAACATGAAGACGGCATTAACAACCCAAGTGAATTAAATTTAACATAAACAGTATAAACGGTAGTCTTTCGATTTGTCATTTTAATTCCAAAGAAAGATAAGCTTTCTTTGCCTCCATTCAATAGAAAACTAGCCGTTATCAATGGATTAAACAAATTCTTATTAACTAGTTTCCAAAGCAGCTAGCTCGGTTTATCTGAATCTTATCTTAATTTGGGTCTACGACATCTTGAACACTCATAAGTGTTCGAGGCGCCTCGACTTTTCTCCCACTCCTAAATCGACGAGAAGTTGCAGGGTTTCTGGGCAAGAAATTCACGATCATATTACACACACATGAGAGGCCAACGACAAACCCATTGAGGAAATTGTGGAAATTTTCATTAAATGTGAGCGGGCGTCGTTGTTTGTGAAAAACGAACCGTCTCTGGTTATCGTCTGCGTTAGAAACGGTTTGAATTGGTTTGCCTTTTATTTTTATGCGACTGAATGGGAGACATGAATGAACTTAAAGAGCTTATATTTATTTTGCTTAGGCTCTCGTGCCTTTAAATACTGCGATCCATTTGCAAGTTTCCGTGGAAACGCAGTTCAGGAATGTCCCGAGATATGTTCTTGGAAATCGTGGGGACAAGGTGTTGCATGAAATACAACAGAAATCCATGTTCCATGTCGAAAAACTAGACTCGAAAATAACTGAAAAATGCTAGCAAAAAAAGGCGGCCGAGTTCAAATTTCCCCGGGGAGCACAATGGCAAAAAAATACCGATCATAATTTTATGACCGCGCAGCAGCGGCAGAATTCAGGAGACTGGAACGGAGCTTACTTTACGACTTGCGAGAGTTTCGCCTGAATGACAAATGAGCAGCACCGCCGAAGAACCAACAACAGGTTAAGAACAGCATAAAACTCTGGAAAAAAACAAGACAGCCTCCTATAATAATACGTAATTTAAATACCCTTTTTTTAAATGAATAACATTTTGGATTTCGATGGTTTAAATACTGTTTTTAAACCTTAGAAACCTAAAACCCATTACTTTGTGTTTAAAACCTTAAAACCAGCAAGTTGTTCCAGAATATGTTAAGTTTTACCCTTAAAAATAACGGGAATATAAGGGAAATTTTATGTAGAACAATTTAGATTACAAAATCTATAAAAAAAAATAAGGAATGCGTTCAAAACTATTATTTTTGGGTAACAATTTATTACATACCCAGATGGGGTTCATATAAGAAGATTACAAATAACCGAAAAATATTATCAACTATTTTATATTTAATATTTAAATACTCCTTTAAGTGTATTAAAATTAATGAGAAGAGGGCAGAGATTTGCAAGCCATAGAAACTTTGTTGAGGATGCGATGAAGATGAGGATCACATGTCAGTCAGCGGGCGGGCACTTGCGGTGGAGCAACTTGTTAGTTTTTTTTTTTTTGGGGAAGGGGTTTTTTATATATACTATATATGAACGAATCGGAGGGATCGGTGATAAGAGGGGGATCCCAAAGTATCCGAGAGATGGCGTTGCAGATATGCAGCCGCATGCCGCGCCGCGTGCATTGCATGTTGAAATCCAATACCCGTCACTCAGCCCCGCTCCTCGAAGCCCCAATCTCCTCCAATACGAACCGATCCGATCCCCACTGAAATCCCCAACGCTAGTCTCCCAGACCAAAACGACCAGACGAACTGATTCCATTCCCATTCCAATCCCAGCTGAGGACATCTAGTTGCCATTAAAGGGGTGCTCTGCCCTGTCACTCTCCGGTGACATCCCATTAATGATTTCGCCTTGGAATTCGGAACCGTTTTCGTTTCGCTGCACCGATAAAAATTTCATCATCATTTTTTGGCAAGTGCAAATAATAATGGGCTTTTACTAAAATAAAGTTAAGTCTGCACATGGAACGCCTTTTTCGTACATATGTAATTTAAATGAAATAAATAAAAACTTTAAAATAAAAATACTTTACTCATATTTAAAAATCTTTGCAAAATTTGGTCAACATTTTATTAAAATAAAACATATTAAAAAAAATATAAAAAACTCAAAATAAAGTTTAATATAAAATCGAACATAAAATATTTAGATAATTTCTTTGTAGCTGTTAAAGTTCTATCTGCAATTATAAATATTAGCCGCATTTTAAGCGACAACATTATTTCTCTGTGTCGTTTATTCATAAACATATTTTTGCATATGGCCAGAGATGATGATTGGCGATTGCTGATCCAAGATCCAAGATTCCAGTTGAATCCACGGCTCCTTGCCTCGGACTTTATTTTGCTTTAGCCGCATCCGGCCTCTGTCCACTTGTATTTTTTTCGTTTTTGTTCAACTTGTTGTTGCCGGTATGGTAACTGAATACTAATTTAATTGCGAAAAAAAACCTTTCATTGAGGCGTCGATGATCGCTGAGCTTTTGTTTACTTACTCCACTCGCCCCTTTTTTCCTCTTTCTCTGGCGAAACAATAAACTGAATTGCGTGGGAATGGGAACTGAAACAGAAATGATTTCTTTTTTGTTTACGCATGTTTATTACTGACAAGCTCAGCTAAAATTCGGGCTCACATTGATCCTATTGGTATGCGTATGGTATATTTTTATAATTGAAGCTTCTTATTTTATTTTGTAGCTATGTAAAGAAGAACTAATGCTTCAGATGCATTTTAATATAATTTAAATTGATTATTTAAAGATCAATCAAGGCTTCGCGTCTTCAATATTTTGGTCGTTGGTTAACCATTTTGCCTCTATGCTTTTTATTAAATTCACATTATGAAATTAATAAAATCTTGGAAGGAGTCTTGTTTGGTATTCGTGCTTAGCCAAAATCAATTGTTTGGGCTCCAAATACTCCGTTGTAGATTCCTGTGTATCGAATTCGTTGCTGTCGTATTCTTCAGTTTCTTCTTCAAGGCTATTGGTTTCTAAGGCATCGATTTCTCCTCCATGCAAAACATCGACATTATCCGTAGGAGCACAAGTCCCCAGATGAATGGCTACCAAGGCAAAAAGTAAAACTACCTGTAAATACAATTTAAATTTATTTTTGACAACTAGTTTTAGGTTCGCTCGGCTTACCAGAACTTTCATTGCAATTTATGTTCTCTATGAACTGAAGCTGAAACGCTTGCGTATTTATATGAAAAGACGTCGAAGCTTTTTATAACATTGTTGTTCTATTCTCCTTAATGCAATCTTTGAATTACTCATGTGCTTTTCCTATAAATATTCTTATCTGATAGATGAGTCTAAGAATTGGCTTATGGCTTAAAACGGCAAGTTAGAGAGATGCGCAAAAATA